TTTTTTGTGGGGGGTTGGGAGGGACTGACAAAAAGAAGGCAAGATCAACTTCTGAAAAAAGCACCCAGACTTTATTCCCAAGAGGTGGTACTTATACCCAGCTTCTTTTACACTAAAATGTATTAGAATTTGAAGTCATCATTAAGGTATATAGGTATTTCTTTAGCCTTCAGAAATTCTTCCAAACACTGGATTCAAAATATGGAATTCTTTGTTCCACTAAAGCACAAGATTTCACTGAACTGTAAAACGTATGGGCAAAGTGCTAATGAGAGGCCATTTCAAAGTAAAATCTTATGCAGATTCATTGTTCCACAGAGTGCTGGCAATTTCTGAGCCGTGGGTTATACTCAAGTGCATGAGGGTTTCCATCCTGAAGACCACCCATCGCAGAAAGATTCCTGGCAGCAGCAACAGCTGTGCAAGGTCTTCATCACCAGTTTTGTAGGCTAACTAGTTCAGTAACCTTTTTGCACCTTTCTGTCATGCATCTGGTACTGACAACTGCTGGAAACAAGAGACTGGAGTAGACAGACCATGACTTTCATACCATATGATAATTATCATCTACCTCAATTTTATAGACCCCATGATGTACTGGGAATAAGCCTTCTGAAAGAGAAGAGTTTTGCTCCTATAGTTTTGCTTGGTTAAGTAATGCACAAAGACATCCAAAAGAGGAACTGGACATTAATATGGAAACAAGATATCCAGCTATAATAACTAAGGTAAACTAAAAACTTTGGAAGAGGAATACAAAGCTTTAAGGCTCAACACAAGCTAGCTCTTCTTGATTAGGAGACATTTATCAGGAGACGTTTATGGGGAACAAATAATCCCCACTGGTGTCCCAGAGAGCTTCTTGAACCCTTTTCATGTAGTGGCCTTTGAAGAGTATTTGGACTAGATGGGACATGGATATTATACAGTATGACAGTTGCTTTGTGTCCATTATAAAAGATGTCTCATGGAATTAAATGTCATTTTGTAAACATCTGTATTTCCAGGTGTCATCATAATCACTTGTTACAACAAAATAACAATTCCTCCCTCCCCCCGCAAAGGATAATTTACTTACTGGTGGGTAATCAAAGTCTATCTGGTTAGCTAAATTTAAGATGTAGTCGATTCGAAACTGGTTCTCTGGATTGGCTAGTTCAACTGGAGGTGCCAAATTCCCCATTGCTGTCACTATTGTCTACAAAGAAAAGAATATATTTATTAGAGAATTAGGGTTTAAAAAGATAGTTTTGAGTTGCTACAAACAATGGCTTACGCACTTACCTCTATAGCTTCTTTAATATTGTTTTTAATATCCTGAATTTTCATTTTCTTCTCCCTGTAACCAAGAAAACATATGTTAAATTTATGAGCCATAAAAAACACTGAAGTCTATAACATGGAATGCAAAAGTAAGAGTGCTTCATCAAAATTAAATATTACTCAAACAAATAACATATGTACCCTACCACTACTCAGTCATTGGATATATTTGTCATAAGGCCAGATCAAATATATTACCTGGTAAGAAAAAAATGGAGATTTTTTCCATTTCAAATGCATGTACTTAAAACACACAAACTTACTGTAATCTTTGATGGTGATGAAATTGTATTAGTGCCATAGCAGGCATTCTGCAGATAAAGCAGGTTTGGTTATATCTGTGTGTACAGACTAGAAATACCTGGAGGCTATTTGGAACAGCACAAAGAAGGAAATGAAGAGATAAAATGGACAAGGTACCAAAAGTAGAAACAAAGCAGAAGAAAGCAAAGCACATAAAAAGTACACAAAAGATATGAGAGTGAAAACAGAGTCAGAGAAGAAAAAATCTGGAACAGAGAGCTTAGGCCAGAAGGAGATACGTAAATTTAACATCACAGACATGCCAAGTAAAATGGGATTAAGAGGACTAATCCAATGTATAGCATTTTTAACAAAATACAAGCAGATTATTCTACAAGATACTACAATACTCTGAATATGATATGCGGTGATACTTTTATTTGGGATTGTCTGCACTGGATATGAAAGAAGCTATTGTCACTCAACAGGCTAAATAAAGCTATGGCATCAGTGATTTTACTTCATTGAATTCACCAGGATTATAACTGGTTATAAAGGCTGTTTACAGATGTTAAAAAATCCAAAAAGCATGCTTTACTGGAAGCAGCAACACATTCGACCTGGATCTGCAGTGTCTATATAGATCGGGCACTTCTGCAGGGCTTTTTGGCACTCTTATCTAAAGCTGATTCAATCAGCTATTACGTAAAAGCGCCAAAACCCCCCACTAAAGCACTTCATCTATACAGACGTTGGGTGAGCCGGGTCCAATGAATGCAATGCTTCTTCTGGGCATGCGCTGGACTCAGCGTGGGGGCACACCGAGTCTAAAGCAAAGCACCATTTGGGGGTTTTTTGTTGTGTGGAGTTTGTTTGTTTTTTTTAAACTTCTGTAAGCAGCCAATGGCCACGTCCACACAAGCATGGATGCTTGTTTCCCTGGGGACATGAAGCAGCAGCACACCTTGCACTAGCTTTTCCCAGGGAATGCCTGTGCCATGCAGGTTGCCCCAGGTAGGATAGGGAAGGCTGGGGCTAGCACTGAGCTGGCCCAAGCAGCCTTACCTGGGGTGCAGGGGACCTCCTGCTCCAGAGCCTGGTCGGCAGCTGGTGTTGGTTTTGCAGTGCTGGTTTTGAGCAGAGTGCTGTCCCCACATGCACCGCGCCCTCCTCCCCCTTCCCCTTTTTTTTGTGGGCTTTTTTTGACCTTGGGAGATCCTAGGGTCAAAAAACCCCTCACGCTGCTACCTTGGAGCATGGAGAACAGCTGAATGTGAAGTACATGGAGCCGCAGAAGTGCCTGCAGTGCCACATATTGCACAGCCATGCTTGTCTGGATGCGGCCAATGTGTCCAATTTAAACCCATGGTCTTTACCAAAACTATTTGAACAGTAAATATATTATTATTTGCAACATGTGTGCAAGTTTTGTCAAACGAGAGGCATAATTAAGAGGCTTCTTGTGTTAGCATGAATCTTATTGTCTTAAGAGTTTACTGTTAGCTTAGGCTTTTCTTTTAAAAACAAGTCTACAATATAATGTTGATTGTGCAAGACTGAAGATGAAAAACGGTATAAAAATACCATTAATTTCTTGATGCATATTAATTTATTTTAATCAATCAAATCTGCTGTAAACCAACTCATGTCAGTTATCCACATAACTCCTTAAAAAAAATAAACCAAAAAAAACCCTAAAAAATTGCTAAGGTAGCCCTTTTAGACTATGTAAAATTAAGCATCACAGAACACTTCACTGTCTGGGTAATTATTTATATTTTGTGGAGCTAATGAAGCATTGTTCTGTTCCAAGTGCTTCTTATTGTTTTCACTTCTCTATAATTAATCACGAGTCGCAAACAAAACGAAACTGAAAGTATAATCAGCAATCAGGAATACAGAAGAACAGCCAAGGGGAGGGGGGACGGCACAACAAGACAGGCAAAGATTACTGGGGATGGCTGGGGAAATGTGAAATAAAAGATTAATAAACTTTTCAGGAGAAGACAAAGTCCTTGAAAACATGAACACTGTACTAGCAGCTTCCACGTTGCATTTTCTGAGTGTGTACAGGTCTGGAGGTAATTTTTCTAAAGCTGCTAAGATTTGATGGTAGCATAACAAATACATTTATCTACTGAAAGAGAACAACAGCGTTAACATGCTTTCTACCGAGGCTCTAGCAGAGCTGGATGCAGGCAGGGTAGTGACATTCTAACATCAAACAGATGCTAATTCTTTGTTTTGTTGCGTCTGTGATCTACCTACAGACCCTCTTACTCCGATTCCACTATATTTAAGGACTACCAGTTTTTTGCTCTGGGGATTGGGCACTGCTGATGGGAACAGGGCAACAAGCCAGAAGAGGCCAAAAGTACTGAACTAAGGAAAATAAATAAGACAGGAAAAGGGGGAGCTCAACAGTCCTCTCCATCCTCAATGTCTTCCCATCTTCCCTCTTTCATTTTTTAGCCCCTGAGACTAGACTCCCTCCTCCAAAACGTGCACCAAGAACACTAGCATTTTAAAGTATTTACAGGTGGGGAGGAAGATATTATGTGGTTGCTGCAACTGCAGTTGCATTAACCACAGTGACTTCCCATTTCTAAATTTGTCCTTGTAAAGAATAGGGTAAGCAATGCAGCCAACAAGCTTGGATAAAAAGAGAAGGGAGGAAGCATACAGGAACTGGTTTAAAATTGAGTATTTACTCTGGATTGATTTTGCCCTCTTTGTTCAAAGACCAAAACCTGCAACACTGCACCTTGTACAATCTCAATCTCAAAGAGCTCAAATAGACTGTGTATGTACTAAAGGTTAAGATGCTTTGTAGAACTGGTACAAAAGTAAGAACAGACTAGAAGGCTTTCTGCTGTTTTTAGAGCCACCTAGATTTATGTTCCTTCCCAAACAAATTTTTTGTAGATATCTTGAGACAGATATTACCTAAATTTACTTTTAGAACAATAAATTTTGCATAATAAAGATGCATATGATATTACATTCTAATTTTTAGTCAGTGTCTTATCTCTGCCTGTTAGATTCTCAAGCTATGAGTAGAAAAATAAAAAGTGATCATGGGTTTCACAATGGTGCGAAACTCCCACAATTCACAAATTGATAGATATTCATCGCCATCTTTATGACAGAATACTTTGCGTCCCTATTTCTGGTTTTGTTGCTATGGCCCTGTGGCACGGCCTGTAAACAAAGAATCTTATTACACAGCAATGAATGTATCGTCTCACTTTGTATTTTGTAATGTTTACTATGTGCACATTTTCCATGACAATGAGGCGCCTCACTTTGGAAACTCAAAATGTTCACCAACCCTTTATCCAACTACTTACATGCAGTGCAACTGCTTTAAAAAGGCACGACTTAACAACAGCTTTTATTCACAGATTTTCAAAACCTGCAGTAAATCCATCACTTCAATAAACACTATTTTCAGAAATTATAAAAATATTTTGGCCTACGGAGCTCTAAAAACCTGGAGCCTACCACCCATTTGCTGCTGCCAGAATTACTTCTACATGACCATTGCTGGCTTAAAAACATTTCAAATAGATTTTCTTTGTCTTAATAGGTGGACATGGCAGATTTCAAACTAGAAATCTGGTTAATCATTTTATATCACCCATTACTTCTGTCTGTTTACTTGATGCATTGGCTTTAAAATGGAAAGTGGATTAGTTTACTTCAGTTCTGGTTCTTGCATGTAGTTTTTTCCCCCCCAGTGTGCTAACACAGTAAGACAAATTTACTACTTGCCCCCACAAAATCTTTTCATTGCGATGGACTGGAACAGCCATAGCAGCATGGTAGTATTTGTGTTAAAAGGGTGACAGTTCAGCATGCTTGTTCTGCAGCTCAAGGAGCACCAAGATAATGCATGGGTCAAGAGCACTCTTTCTAACTTAATTTGTAATATAGTTTGGTTTAGCCCAAGCAAAATATTAAATTTTGTTGTGGCTGAAGTTGTAAAAACAGTTATCAAATACTACCTATTTAGCTATTTTAAAGGGCCAAAAGCAAGATGGACCTATTTATTAGAAGGCTATTGAAACCTATTCATTGCAACCTTTTATTTTAAAAGAAATCAAAACACCAAAGGTCAAAAAAATCAAAATCCCACTTCAGAAAGTCAGCCCTATTTGGTAAATCACTTAAATCACCCGTTTAAATGACTTTTAGAATCTATGCCCTAATGATTTTTCATGAAAGAGTAAGGCAACCTTTTCGTCTAGATTTTATAATGCTTTATCAAAATCTAAATAAATCAGCAGGCTACCAAGCAGACTGCTTTTTGTAAGACCGTTTAATTTTAACTTTCCTTTCATCCTAGAATCCAGAGACAACATGAATAGCGATGTTACAGTAGGAATGCAGAACTTTGAAAAAAGAAAAACATTTCCACATTAATGTTCCAAGAAACTCACTCATAGAAAAAACACGAGTAAAGCAGTCCATTGTTCATGAACCACTGCACTTGTTGCTGGGAGAATGAAAAAGAAATCAGATGGTGATGCCAAAGATTAAATAAAATGTGTTCTGGTGATTATTAAAAACAAAGTCACATTAACGAAATGTGCAACTCCACTGCTCTAACTGGTTCTAATAATTGACAGAGCAAAGGTATTAGTTTCAACTTCTAGTTAATCACATGCTTAGCTGGAAATGATGACAGGTTAAGAAACCATATACTGCATCACTGATATCTTTGAAATACCCAGACAACTACTAAGGAACATGTACAATTGTAAATATATC